CTCTACTCAGCCAGTCCAAAGAGGTAACTCTCCCACTACATTTAGCACTGCTGTGGGTTCACTTCAAATACTGTGTGCCTATATGGGTTCCATAATATAAAAAGTATGTTAAGGTCCTCAAATGTCTCTGGAGCAGAGGGCAACAAAGCTGGTTAAATGGGGTGGAAGGCATGCCCTATGAGGAGAGGCTGAGGATGCTTGGGTTGCCCAGTTTAGAGAAAAGGAGAAGCAACAATGACATTGTTCTATGCAACTGGCTCCTCTTTTTCTCGTCCTCAGCAATTCTTTTCTCCCCAGTAAACACATGGAAACTGCACAAAATTGCACACAGGGAGATTCAGACTGGACATGAGGAAAAAAAAATTTACTGTGACAGTGGTCAAATACCAGAACAGGCTTCCTAGCAAGGTGGTTGTTGCCTCAGACCCAACAATGCTCAAGAAGCATTTGGATAATGCCCTTAATATATTTTATCTTGTGGATGCCACTGAAATAGTTGGGCAATTGGAGTTGATCTCTGTAGGTCACTTGCAAATGGAATATTCTATAATAAACCAAAAGTAAAATTAAACACTTCTAAGTTATCTTGTAACAAATTCTTAAACAAAATTTGAACTTAAATTCTACAGATAGTTGTGACTGAAGGTCAGGCAGGAAATGTTTCCAGGGATATTTTGGACCACTACAACAGAGGTTGGCATAACTTACAAAGAAAAGGTAAGAATTCCTGAAAGGTGCAATATATGTTTGTGAGAAAAAGGCTTCGAGAGCTCCAGTAACTGAGACATCTATCTGAGTATGGAGAAAGAAAACACTGGAGGAAAGGCAAGAAAATTAATGGTACATAATGCACACATACATATATATATTTTTTTTTTCAGTCCATTGTGCAGTCAGGTCTGGAGGAAAGCGTGTATTGCCAAGGACTGTGAAGATGACACTGCGGGAAAGATGAGTATGCAGTGGGAGTCAATTGAGCAGAAATACGAAGGTCTGGAACAAAAGAACAGCAGTTCAAAAAAAATGTTTGAGAAAGGAAAATTTAGAACTGAATATAATTTTAGTTAGTGCCTTCAGCAGCAGGGAGAACTACAATTTAAAAAAAAAAAAAAAAAAAAAAAAAGGAATTGTCTGCCTTAAACTGAAAAATAGGTTTTTTAAGAACATGGCAACAGTGTTTGAGTGTGAACCATATAAGAATCTGATAAGGGACATAGAAGCTCTGCTGGTCCTGACTACAAAGGCCCTGGAAGCCTGACTATCCAGAAAGAAGACAACTTCAGTTGTCACACATAATCAGTGGCCTTGTGGATCCCAGAACCCTCTCCTAAAGAATAGGCCTATTGCCTTCTCCAGTGATACTGAGAACATCAGCACTTAATTTATTGTATTAGATAAAAAATGTGATGATCCACAAGACAAATGTGTTAATCCTGTAAACTCATGCTGCCAGTTTGAATGTATTCATAAAACTCAATGAGTTAACCTCATACCAGAAGGCTTTCTACTAAATGAGGTACTGTCTGTTCTCCTGCTGTTGGCACTGAATTCAGTCTTATGCGCTTTGGCTAACTCAACTGAAACGTACTTGCAAATCCACACCTGATCTGGATCACATGTATATTAATGCAGCACACAGACCAGTTACAAAGAGCCACCACCTCCCGAAATGAGTAGAATTACACTCATTCTGCAAGCATCACAGTATTTCTTTCACATCCTCCCCCTACTCCGAACACAGAAATTAAAAAAAAAAAAAAAAAAAAAAATCACCACAGAAGAGAAAAACTTGGTTCCTTTGCTTCCCTCTCTTGGAAGGCAGTCAAGATAGAAGATACGCAGTTTTTCAGAAATACAGTTTACCCTATAGATACATGAGCCTATCTTTGAGAAAGAAACAAACATTACCTCAAGTAATCATGAAACAGGTTTAAGAAATACCAGTGACACAAACTTTAAGGGCTTAAGGAAAAGTACTTGGAATGTTAAATTTTTCAGCACTGGACATCATACTGGACTGCACTTACACTTCATGGAAACTCAAAAAAACCCTTCATCACAAACAGGAGACATATGGATAAAAGCCATTTAAATGAAAGCAGCTTATTTAATAATTTACAACTAAAAAAAAAAAATCACCCAGCTCCATACACAAACATTTTCCAGCTGGCTCATTCAGCTATGTGCTGAAGTTCAGCTTATTTCTAATAACGAAGATGGTTTTCAAGTTTTCCAGAGAAGGTTCTCCTGCTGTTAGCATATAACACTGAAGTGAATTACAAGGTTAAAATATTTTTCACAGATATTGGTCCAAATCCAATACTTTTATTCCAAGAACAGAAGCATGATCTACAGTCAAACCTGTACAAAATGCAGTACCAATTTACAGATAGTATGCTTTCAAAAAGTTAGACAACTCAAACCAACAGCATTTAGAACAGCTTGAATATGACTGCTTCTTCCTAGATACAGAACAAAACACGAATCTACCACAGATCAGTGATACTATTCACAAAGTCATGGTTTACGCAGAGCAGTATCACAGCTCCCTCTAATCAATGATACTTCCTGGCTTAGAAAAACCTTCAGAAAAGCTTTTTATTTTAATTCCACTGTAAGCCAGAAACACACTAATTTTATAAACCTATTCTCCAGTTAACACACTAAGTAATTCAAGTATCACTAGGATTCTCTAATCACCATACAGAAATAGTTTTTACAGATCCTGAAGTAGAACTGCCTTACTGAGTACTCAGCACAGAGCTACACACTGTTTCTACATAAGCAAGGTATTTCAGATGCCTCTCACATGGCATATCTTCCTGTCAGCAGACCACAACTTGTTCTTTTCCTTTTATTTCAGCATCTTTTTAGTAGAACAAGCCCATAAATAGATGCAGGAATACAAGTGAGTTGATGACAAACTACAACATATGGGCAGAAAAAGCAATTGGGAAAATGAGTGGCAAGAAGAAAATGACTAGTGGAAGTAACTTAAAATAGTTTTTCCATCAGATAAAGCATTCATATAACATTTAGGACAGCTAACACAGGAAATGGAACAGAAAAGCTTCCATTAGGATCTGAAATACATAAATGTATCCATAGATGTATACATAAAGCCTTACTCTGAGCTCTGGCCCTAGAAATTCTTCATCTGCTCATTTTCACTTTTTAATAGTTGAAGGGAAATACTACACTGAGTCGTAAGGTGAGGAAATGCATGTATTTGAGCATTAACTTCATTTCCTGAGATTTCGGTAGACTACAGCAGAAAACAAATTCCTCAAAAGCTTATCTGTATCAGAAAGAATTCATATAAAAAGCTACTAGCATATAAATTTGTACACAAGAATATTCAGCCACCGAAAACAGCTCATTCTCAAGTTTAATGCAAATTTTATAGAAGACGTTATCCACATTTACAGAATAGCGTAACGACTACCTATGTCTATTTAAAGTTCAGTACAGAACAGCAAAACTCTGAAAAATTATTTCTAGCGCCTTGTCATATACAAACCAGTAGTCTGCATCTCTTGAAAAAGGACATTTTCTGCAGTGCTGATCAGAGGCTAACCTTCCCACGCAACAGACTCCAGGCTTACAAAGTTGCACAGGACTAAGCACAGTACCAACCAACAGCCTAACACTTTCTGGAAAGCAAAGAGAAGAGAAAAGCTTTCTTCCCCTCACATGCAGAATTTTAAATCTGTACATACATTTTTTAGAAGTTTGCTTTACCATACTAGCTTGCTTTGTTTCTTCATATAAACACAGAGGGAAGGGCTTCAGTTCCCTGTACCTGTTTGGAGCTATTTTACAAGTCTGCAACAGACAGAAGTTACTGAGTTCTACTACAGCAAGATTTGTACTATACAGAATGCTCCACTCAAGGAAAACAAATTTATGGAGGAGAGAAAATTGGGTAGTATTTCAAAAACCAGAAACCATGCTTGGAACTATAGCAGCACAAGGAAAATTGAAACTCCAAATTTTTTTTGTATATATTTATTTTTTAAAAATATGGGTTAAAAAGATCCAGTGCAGTTAAGCTATAAAGCATAACACAAAACTCCCCATAACATCAATACAACACGTCTTGCAGGACTCAGCTGCCCACAACACATACAACAGTTTTAGATCTGCACAAAGGCATTTCTATTTAAATATTGCTTCTCCTTTCATAGTGATTTTTAGCAGTAATTTTACTTCATTTATCTTTATACACAAACATATCACTTATAATACGCAAAGCTGCTAGCTCCAGGAACTTGTGAGCAAAATCTGGAAGACCTGATGGCACAGAACTGTGAAATTGCTTGGGCTGGAAGGGACCTCAAAGGCCATCCAGTGCCAACTCCCTGCCGTGCACAGGGCTGATGCTCACCAGATCGATACCCGGGCCCCATCCAAACCCGCCCTGAGCACCTCCTGAGGTTGGGTATCCACAGCTTCTCTGTGCAGCTCCTCATCGCCTTATTACAGTGATCCGCTCTATTACACACTTTATAACCCGTCAAGGTTTGACCTTACGTTGTACAAGTTCAGCAACGTAACCAACTTCCAAAACAAAACAATGCAAGAAGTCAGACGGCGCCTCGTGTTCCTTTGACGCTTCTTCCACTTCACTCTTACACCGACGTTTCAGATGGGGACGTTCCACACGAAACAAACATCTCCCAACCTGAAATTCCCTTAAGCTCTTCCTCGGAACCGAAGTACCCAGAACCCACATCAGAAGTTCAAGATCTCACTCCCTTCACGCGGAGCCGGCGCCTTTTCTAAACAAAGCCCCAGCCTCTCGGAACCGCTCCCCGGCCCGGCCTGCAGCCCCGCCGCGCCCACCTGCGCTCCCCCCTCCGCCCCCAACGCTTCCGAGGAGCCACGCGCGCCCTTTCCGCGCCCCGCCGCCGCCGCTCCCTGGGGAACCTCCGCGGTCCCCCGCCCTCCGTTCGGCTCTCACAGCTCCGGAGCTCGGCCCGGCCAGGGGCCGCCCTTACCGAGCAGGAGCAGCTTCACCTCCCTGGCCGCCTTCTCGCCGTCCTCCCGCAGGTTCCTGTCGATCATCTTGCTCCTCTCCACCGCCGCCTTGTCCTCGGCGCTCAGCGTGCAGCCCATCTCGGCAGGGGCCGCGTACCTCGCCGCGGGGAGAAGCGGGGCGCGGAGGGCTCCGGAGAGACGTTGAGGAGCGGGGGGAAGCAGAGCCTGCCCGCTTTCTTTCTCCCTCCTTCCCCACCTGAAGCGCAGGCAGCGCGCACCACGTTTACCTCACGCGCAAGTAAAGGGAGAGCGGAGCAAAAAAAAAAAACCAAAAAACAACACCAAAATCGTAAAAAAACACCACAGCGAAGGGAGAGGGAGGCTTCCCTCGATCCGTCCCCGGGGACACGCTGCCGGCGGAAGCGATCGCTCCGCGCTCCCCTTCCTCGAGTCTGCTATCGCCGCCCCCGCCCCTCCGGAGCTCTCGGCGGCGCGCACAGCCCACAGAGCCGTGGGAGGGAGAGGAAGGGGGCGGGCGCGTGCACGCGGGGGAGGGCGGGGCGGGCGCGAGCGCGCCTGCGTGCAGCATCGAGCGGCCGGAGGTAGAGAACGGAACGCGGGCGCGAACCTCCGTCCGTCCTGCGTGTGCGTGACGTCAGCGCCCAGCCCCGCACACCTTGCTGCGGGCGGGGGGCGATAAGGGCTCGAATTTAAATGGCTTTTCGCGAGAGGTTTCACTGTTTTGAGGAGGGAGCGCCTGGAGAGGCTGTTCTAATGCCTGTAGGGTTACTCCGGAGACTGAGAGTCGCCTGTGGTGGGGTGTTCGACTTCCTTAGGCATGGCCTCGGTAGCTCGTGGCCGTGAACGTCTCCATCTGCCGTGCGTCGCCTCCTCCTGCCTTACTGCTGAGAGCCGTTCGAGTCCCGTTCCCGGAGCTGCGTGCTGGTGGATGGGCGGCTGTGTGCAGCGGCGCGGCCCTTGGAGGCGGCTGGCTCTGATGCGATGTGGGGAGGCTGCCCGGCTTTGGGCACAGGAGCGATCCCTGCGGCTGCTCTGTGCTGCCCCGCCGCAAAATGTCACTGCGTAAACCCAGTTCAGCGCCGTAGAATCTGTATGAGACAAAACTTTCTGACTTTTAGGATATTTTTTCAGTCAGACTGTCACGTGGAAGAGCCTACAAGGCAAGCGTATTAAGTTCAGGTTTGTCTTCTCCAATGAGCCTTTAGGGTTTGTGAAAGAAGGGGGCCATACAGAGAGACCAGGACAGGCTTGAAAAGTGTGGCCGCATGAACCTCTTCTGTGAAGAAAGCTTGAGGGAGCTGGGCTTGTTCAGTCGGGGAACTTTAGCACTGGGGTGACCTAATTGTGGCATTGCATTGGGAAGGGGAGCCTGCAAATGGGCAAAATTATTGCTTTTTTTTTTTTTTTTTTTTTTTTTTTTTTTAACTGTGATAGTGATATAACAAAAGGGAAAGGTTTTAAAAGGGAGAAATTTAGGGTAGATGTTAGGAAGAAATGATTTACTCAGTGTGGTAAGGTGCTGGCGCAGCTGCCCAGTGAAGTTGTGGATGCCACTTGCCTGGAAGCTTTGAAGTTCAGGGTGGATGGGGCCCAGGGCAGCCTGATCTGATGGGTGGCAAACCTGTCCAAGCAGGGGATTGGAACAAGGTTATCGTTAAGGTCCCCTCTGAGTTAAGCCATTCTATGATTTTATGATTTTCTTCTTTATATAGGTCTTGAAAGCTAGCACAGAATAAACCATAAGTAATGACGTAAAATCAAATACAGTTAAACTGTGAATTAAATATTATGACTCCTTATTAAAAGCACTTATGCAACCTCTCTTAAACTGAGAAACATCAGCTCGCACGACTTTGTAAGACCTCTGAAACATCTTGTCTGGCTGTTCTTCATTGTGCTACCCCCAGAAAAAGCATCTGAGCAGCTGAGAGATATTAGTTACTTCTCTGCCAAAGTTCTGTGTCCTCCTGAAGAGTTCCTGCATGCTACTGAACAGTCAGGCGCAGTCAGAAAAAAAATGAAGCTGGGGCAGGAAAATTAATAAGTTTCGGGATAGTTTCCTGATTTAGGAATAAGGGATGAAGAATGATTTCTAAAGTAAACAGTGTGTGGTTTGGGTACCGGCAAGTGAAAATGTACAGATTAAGGAATAAGAAAGCAGTAAACAGAGACTTTGGTATATGGAAATATATAACAGTGGAAGAGTTAGGTGTTATATGGAGTGAGATACTACAAGTGGGACATCCAACTTTATATGTACTCAGTGCACATATTTTTGTACTTTTGACTACGAGTGTCTGTCATGAATCTGTCTATGTCCTTCTTATTTAATGCTGTCACTGCATCCATATCCATACTCATACAGGATGAAGTAGGCCCCACATTTTTATCACCCTTTTGAAGAAGAACATAACTTTTTTTCTTTGCAGCCATTTTTGTGGATTTTTAATTTCAGAGGAGCAAAAGAAATACTCATTACAGGTTACATATGATTTAACAGTACTATTTGTTTGTTTAAAACTGCTTGGCATGGTTTTAAACTAATACAAGGCAGATTTAGGTTAGATATTAGGAGGAATTTTTTCACACAGAGGTGGTGACACACTGGAACAGGTTTGCCCAAGGAGGTTGTGGATGCCGCATGCCTGGATTCAGGGCCAGGCTGGATGTGGTTCTGGGCAGCCTGCTGTGGTGGTTGGTGACTCTACCCACTGCAGGGACGTTTAAACTAGATGAGGTCGTTTGCAACCCAGGACATTCTATGATTCTTTGATTGTATTTCTTCATGCAGTATTCTTTGAAAGAAAGATCTTTTCAGCTGTGTTAATCAATCTCATTTGTTTACTTCTACATACTAAGTAATTCCTCAATTGATACTCGATTGTATTGCAGAGTTGCTTTGCATCAGTAGAAGCTTTCAGGGCCCTAGAATAATATACACTCTTTTAGAGAGCCTAGAAAGGTTGAATAATTATTGTGCTAATTATTCTTGCCAATATTGAGAAAAAAGTTTGTCCATGCAGTGCTTTCCACAAATAACACCTTACATAATGTTAAATTGTAGAGCAGTGGAGGTCTGAATCTACACTTGGAGCTAGCAGAGATCTTTATGTGATGGCAGAGGTTCACTTCTGGTGTACTGAAGTATTTTCTTTTAATCTGAAATACTCTACTGTAGTGTAATAAATAAATAAATATTTAAATATTGTCTGTATTTGAGCAATACACCATCTATCAGTTTTATTCCAAAATGTCAGGAAACTATTTACTCTGGTATGTTGGTTGGAATTGCTGTTCAGCAGTGCAGTTATATGAAATACGTATTTCATCCCTGAAGTTAGAACTACGCAGCTTTGTCCCTTCATCTGACAAGTTGGTAGAATGCTCAGAATGTGTGTGTTTTGCAGCTGCATTTCTGAGAGAGGAGAGATTTTGTTGTTTTGCTTGCTTTAGTGACAAATAGCAGTGGTTTGTTATGGCCTCCATCTGAGTCCCCATCACCTGCTCTTAGGTTCAATTTTAGTAAGATTATCTTCAGCTGCTACTGCGTGAACTTGATAGAATTTCTTATTCGTTCACTGTGCTCTTTTGTTTTTAATCACATAATGTATGGAAAATGACATCTGAGAAACCAAATACACAGTTGTTATGAAAGCAGAGGAAAATGGACAAGTTTGAATTGTTATCATCTTTGTAAAAGGGAAAAGACCAATTCAAGGTGGATTAATGGAGAGGAAAAAAAAAATCCCACAAATAAAATTCATTTAATTAATTTTTGTGCTAAGAAAACAAAATGTTACTGAATTCCAGTGCAAGATACTTTCTTCCTAAGTACTATTTCACTTTTAAAGTATGTATATTAAAGTTTTGTTTTTAGACAGTTTCTTGACTTTTTTTTTTTTTTTTTTTTTTTTTTTAACAGTTCCACTACCCTCCTTTTTTTCTGGGTTACTAAAGGGGCATCCTCTGTGGTGCTGTGATCCCATGTGGCTGCAAATCATTATCAATGGTAGGAAATTACATTGCACTGTTTGAAATTTTAAAAGATGAGTAAACTGTCAAGTAGACATGAAAGGTAAGCTGCAAATACAAATCTATAGTAGGTTGTGGAGACTTTAGATATTAATTAGCAATGATAACGTCCCTGCTCAATGTTACTAGTGAAAGGACAGCCTTCCGTTGCAATGTGCAATACCTCTGTGAATGACCTTACTAAGATTTTGGACACTTTAATTCAAAATGAAATTTTTTTTTGGAACAATGAAGAAATTTTTTTAAATTTTGTAAAGCCAGGGCTGAATAATGATTAAGTGATTATTAACTCAACTGATTAATCTGCAATTTGCCAGCATACTAATACAGAAGCTGCTGTTAATATGGGGGCAATGGATGCAAATAATTATAGTCAATGCCTTGGGAGATTGCAAGGAAATTCAAATATGTATATTGAGCGAGGGCGGTGCTGCTAGAAGGGAGAGGAAATGTATGCCATGTAGGTTAGCAGATACTACATGTGACCTAAAACTCACTGCTGCCCTGAAATACAGAGTAAGTCTTCTGTTAATTTTAATAAAGTCAATGCTAATTACACTAATCCGAGAGGAGAATCAGCTTTGTGTAGGCATGCAGTGTAATCCAGAGGTGTTTGAAAGTGGTCTACATGTGTTTTACAAGAAGACTCATCAATGGGCAGAGGAGTATTTGGCACTTAATTCAAGTTTAGTTAACCTATCCAAAAACTCAGGCTTCCAATAACTTGTGTGAGTTACCCAAAAGCTGGCGATTTGAACATTCGAGGTACTTCAGATAGGTCCTTTAATATGTTTTTAAATGTGTTAGAGCCAGGAGAAAATGTTTAGTAAGATGGATTTCTTTTTGTTCTTCTTGTTTTGATCTGCATGGTCTTGGAAGATTATCTTGTTTGAATTAATTCTCAATATTTCTGGCAAAAAAAAAACTGCGTAAACCACAGTCCATTCAAACTCTGAGCTGCAAATTAACTAATCATGATAAGGAATTCGTGCTATAAATAAATAAAATAACTCGCTGAACAATTGAGTGTTATTAATAAATACTGTATTAGCTTGTAAAAGAGTGACACGCACATACAAAGATACACATTTATTTCTATAGTTCGGATGCCTGCACAAGAACTCTAGTGCTTTAGAATTCTGTTCCTTTAGTATACACATAGCAGAAACAAATTATTCATAAATTACAACAGGAAAAAAATCAGCTAACAGTACAAAATGCGTGTCCCTTTGGGATTTGTGTTTATTCTTTGTTCCATGTAGATAGAAAAAACTTTAAATTCTTTCACGTTAATTGTGAAACAGCACTTTGAACCATCGTTTTGTTTATTAACAGTGTTGTCCATGAGTAAGAATTAGATCCATGCCTTCAATAGAAATGTGTACGTTCACATGTAGTTGCCACGTCAGCAACAATTATAGATTATATTACGCTCTATTTGTGTGAAGGTTTTGTAAATCTTTTATT